TGGTTCAGTTACTGATTTTTGCTGTGCCTTGTTGTTGCCACCACATAATATCTTGTTGTGGATATTGAAGAAAAGGTGGTCAGGAAGAGAGAGTGTTTTTCCCCACATGCCAAGAGTTTTTACAACATTCATTGTTTTTTTTTAAAAAGCAGCAATTTAAAAGCAAATAATTTTCTTACTTTTCAGAAACAGCAAAAACAGATACTTTTAAAAAAATCAAAGCCATAACAACTACAACTTACTCTTTAGAACTCTAACTGTATTTAAATGCTTTAGAAGTAACTATTTGAATTCTCGAAATAATGGGTCAGATGTCAATGAATGTTAGCTGAGCTTTAAAATGCACACAGACACACACGGCTTGATTTCATACAATGTGCTGGTTCATACGGCCATAAACAACCTGGGAAATCACTGAACTGAAAAGTAGACAAGATCAACTAACAGTCCAACCCAGACCTTCAAAAAGATGACTTCTTGGTATTACATTTCCCAGAACTGTCCAGCCAGTGTTCTTGCCCCTGGCCCCCTCATGGAAATCAGTTGCTGTTCAACCTGTTTTGTCCAAAGCAGTGTACCACAAACAGAAAGCAGTTGCACTACTGTGCAAAGTAGTTTTCCAGTGATAGTAACCTTAATCTTTTTTTAAAGTATTTTCTCTTGTGGAATCAGCTGCATTAGCAATCAAACCAACAGTGCTTGCTGTCACATTTGGACAGACAACACCACTTTATTATGGAAAAAGTGAAACCCATTAATGTGCCATTCTCCAGAACAGTGGCAGCTGGCAAGTCCCAATGCTGCAAGTCACAGTAAGAAACTGTGGGGGTACAGGAGTGATTTGTCAATTTGTGACTTGCTCTTTGGAGAATGCTCTTGGGTTTCCCCAAAAAGTTCTTCAAAGGTAGCCCCGCCCACATTATGCAGCAGCAAACGTGGGTGTAACACACAGGATTGAACTAGATATAAAAGGGAAAGTATATTTCTAACAGCTTAATTGAGATTCTGTTTACACTTCATAATAACCTCACAATATACGGCGTTTTAAATGAAATTGAGTTACAGTCATGTGACAGTCATGTGGTATTTGAATCACTCTCTGCATTTCCTTTAGAATGCAGCATATTGTGATGTAATATCTCCCCACAGTGGCATTTCTATAAATATATGTGTCTCAATAATCAGACTTGCAAATTAAGCCCATGTTACTTTCCAGTGACTAACCATTAACTATGTATTGCAAATGCAAACAGGTAAATCAGCAAAAACACATCCCATGACAAACTTAAGGGAACACTACTTCTATGTACACAATATGCAGATCAACTGTGAGTATATATTCAGCAGAAAATTGCAACCAATGTGACCTCCCTATGATACACATTTATTAATTATCCTCATGTACACTTAGAATGTGAAAAATGTGCATGGAACGTGAAAAGCAGTCTCATTGTAAAATCCACTTTGTACAGACAAGCTGAGAAGGCTCCATGCTTTACATCTAGCTGCTAAAAGACTTACACACTGATCCCAGTAAATCCATTAGTATATGTTGTAAAAGCATCCAGTGATCCTATTCATTCAGCATGTCCTGTCATCATACCTGTATCCCTTGTTGTGACAGTGGCAAGTTCATAAGCTGCTCTTTCAGGTTTAAAGTTCCTGAGGTCTTGGGACCATTTGGTCAGATTGTCAGCCATTGGTGCAGTAGTGTGGTTTATTTCTGTAGCAGTGTTCATAGCCTGCTTTGTAATAACTTTCAGTTGCTCTAGACGCTGTGTTGCATTATCTACGAACAAACAGAAAGTGACTCTTGAAAGCCAATATAAGGAGATGTATAATACTGAGAAACAAAATATTCTGGTGAAGAAAGAATGAAAATGCTTGAAATTTCCAGTGGATATTGTTTCATTATAGCCAAAACCAATATTGTGTCAGAAGACAAAGAAATTGTGATGGGGAAAAGATTTTGGGGGACAACAGCTCACTTCTACAGATGCATAGAGTGTAGCCTCAGTAGAGAGTAGAGGATTTATATAATATTGGGAGTATGGTTTACTCTGTGATCTTATACTCTTAATTCTGAGTAGATATATAAAGAATTGTACTGCAAAGGTAAGTAAATTTTACTACCCTATGAATGTAACAGGAATGTAGTGATAGAAAAACATCCATTTTCTATTAACTCTAAGTGAGGCAGTTTGTTTTTTGATCAGATGCTTAAAAAATCAACGTTTTGAAACCAAAAATAGCATGTGGAAAAATACACACAGAATAATTAAATTAGAATAGTCAAATAAAAACAAAGTGTTTTCTATCATTCTGTGGCATCTTAGAGGTGGAGAATAAGAACATAACTATGTAAGAACGTAACTGCCCTTTCAGTCCAGTGTTTGATTTTCTCCATGACCAATCTGTCCTCTGTGTGAACCCCACAAGCAAGACCTAACTGTGATAGCATCTTCTTGTTTGTGCTGTCCAGCAACAAGTATTGAGAAACATATTGTAACCTCTGATACAAGAATGATATACAGCCATAATGACTGATAGCCCAAAACACAATTGAAAAACATGAAGAATGAACTATTAAAACAACAGAGAACACATTGGAAAAAGGTTACTGTATTTTGGGCCTAAGCACATCCTGCTCTTTTCAACGTCTATGATTGCCCCATAAATGAGATTTTATGAAGTGCAGCTTGACTGCTAACACAACCTTCTGCCTATAGGACTTTGTTTAAAAATATCAAATCCAAGTCTCTTTGCAATTCTCCTCCATGTATGTTGATGGCATGATCCTTCAAACTGATTTTCAGCTGGCACTCCTTCTTTGTGCTACTTTGCCATCTGTTCTGAAGGACTGGGAGAAGCATCAGAAATACTAATATTTCCTGTTCTCTTAACATGATTTCCACTGGTACACTAGATGGGATAAAACCCTACACATGAACAAGGAACACAGAACGCTTTTGCTCAGATCCTAACTCCAAAATTTTCCCTTATTCTTTGCACGGTACTGGCAAGAACTGGATTGTTCTCAGTTGACTTAGAAGACATAATGAATATTCAGCTTAAGATGGTTGTTGTGGGTTTTTCGGGCTCTTTGGCCATGTTCTGAAGGTTGTTCTTCCTAACGTTTCACCAGTCTCTGTGGCCGGCATCTTCAGAGGACAGCACTCTGTGCTCTGGTATAGTTTGCTTGGGAGTTGAGTATTTATGGCTGTGAGATAGGCTTTTGTCCTTTTCAGGAGATGGGTGATTAGTGTGTCTTGTTGTGCGTATATTGTTGCAATAAGGAGGAGAGATTATCTGTCACTGTGATTGATGGGTGTCATTAGCTGGTCTTTTGTGTGTAGTGATCCCCGGTCCTTGTGGCTGGGTAGAGTTCGTTGACCTTTTGGACGTTGTATTTTTCAGAGCTGGAAGCCAAGTTTTGTTGAGTTTCAAACTTTCCTCTTGTTTGTTGAACTTCAGCTTAAGAATTTTTGGAACATGAACAGATAGTAAAGCTATCTACAGCAACAAATGACACACAGCATCCTGTGGGAGACAAACTGGCTGAGGTGGTGTGCCAGAGCAGATATACAATTTTTTTTTGTCCTGTACATCTTACTCCTGCATGCGCTGCAGAGGTCACAAAACATAACTCTAAATATTGGCTTAAATTCTGTTGCTTACCATAATAAGTCAGAACTAGAGTAAGCCTATAGAATCGAAAGAGGTAATTTTTACACAGTGGTTAAATCCTGTTGCTTAGTGCAGTAAGTTGCACTGTAGCAACTTTTCCATATGTTCCACTGATACAAATGGGCCTACTCTAGTCATAACTAGAGTAGGCCCATTTGAATCAATGGAACTTGTAGCAGAGTTGAGTCACCAAATTCCCATTGATTCAGTGGGCCTGCTCTAGTGCAACTCACTGCACTAAGCAACAGAATTTCAGCCAATATTTTAAAATTACCTTTATTAGTTGATGCAACAAATATAACATATCAAATGGTAGGTGTGAAGACCAACTTCTAAAAAGGATCAATCACATAGAATTTAATTTGGCATTTATCTCGCATAATCATTAAGGGGATACCTGAGATAAATTTCTTCTTTAATCATTTTTACAATATTAAATTTTTCAACATTTTATCTTCTCACCCTGCTCTGGGATCTCTGTTTTTGAAATTACTTTCATCAAACGGTCTTTCAAATTATTTGCCCTGGCAAGAGTCCCATTAGCCTGTTGACGTGCATCTGCAACAGCTGAATCATCTGTAAAGTAAAAACAATGAAGTGTAATGAACAATCTTTTTACTCCTGTGATGTGAAAAATATAATATCAGGTCTTCTAGACTGCAGCTATGCAGTTCAATATGGATACATACAATGAAATATACATCAAGTGAGTTTTAAGTGATATGAATTTCTTATGGTGTAGACTCATGCATGTTTATACAGGAGTAATTCCTATTAAGCTTAATAACACGTATCATTAGCAAAGCATGCTGTTGATACAACTGAAGTCTAAATTGCCTCCTGACCTCTAAATTGCCTCCTCAATGACTTTTCCCAACGGAATTTAGAATCTTCCTTAAGGATCTTCCCTTTTTTCCCCTTTCTTTTTCAGGTTGGTTATATCTACTTGGAGTGAGTAAGATTATATTTACTTTACAAACACAAAATATCATAAATATAGCAGGCATCATGCTCGACTTCTGACAGGTTAAATATGGTAATCCTTATTACTATATATAGTATTGTAGTAAAAATAGCACCAATATCCTGTACACCTTTTATGTGCTTTGGTCATAGAATAGACATTTGAGGGCTATGTTGATCTCAGGGAATGACAGGTTATAAAATGGATAAAATAATGTGTCTTTATTAGACCAGCTTCTGTTGGGCTTGAAGTATTCAAATGTTTGAATTTCAGAATTCTCAGGGGCAGTTAATGATTAATTTTCTCAAACGAATATTCATCTTTCTCATGATGTTCCTTCTCCACCTCACAAGAGCTACTGTAGTTTCAGAGAAGCAACTGAACCAAGAAAATGGATTATATTTACTAGCGTCTGCAGTCTCTTGCTGTTCCCTTGCTTGTCTGAGAAGCTTTCTGCTTTCTTCTTTATGGTAAGTGATCTGAGTGTCAATTCCAACAATGGCCTGCAAATTCATTTCAGAAAGAAAATACAAATAATATTTCATGAAAATAGACATTTTTAGTGCTTCAGAATGAGACCATCATTAAAACTTTGCAATATCTTGTACACAGAATTAATGTGAGTGTGTTTCCAAATAGCTACACCTGTATTCAGTCATTCTGAAATCCGGTGTCAGCAGTATAGTTACAAGAGAGAGGCTAGCTCTACCTCTCCTTTGTCACTCCTCACATGAACAGTGAGGTATGTGATAAGGAGAAGGGTCTTGATCACATTCGCTCTACAAGTGAGCAAGAACCCAGATTTTTCAGAGTTCTTGCTTGTGTGTAGGTCCTATGTATCAGTGGTCCCCAACCTTGGGCCTCCAGATGTTCTTGGACTTCAACTCCCAGAAATCCTAGCCAGCAGAAGTGGTGGTGAAGGCCTCTGGGAGTTGTAGTCCAAGGACATCTGGAGGCCCAAGGTTGGGGACCACTGCTATATATGAGCAGCAACATCTCTACTTCGGACTACTCAATGCCTACTTGAGCAAAATGATGAGAGAGGGGTTGGGGCTAGTCTCTTCCTTGTAACCTTGTTACTGATTCTAGATTTCAGAATGGCCGGATAGCTCTTCTACTTCTACAGATTTACTACACAAAGAACAGGAGTTTGGCCACAGAATGCCAATTACAAGAGAATACCAACTGTTAGCTGTAGACAATGGGCTACCTGGGAGTTGGAAATTCTGATCTGTAGCAGCAAAACCAATAAAGTATCTTACAGTATCTTAAAGACCAACCAGTTTTATTTGCAAAAGGTTTCATGAATTGTAGCCTAGTTAGTTCACAATTTTTTTTTGCCAAATACAACTTGTTATTTTATGAGGTCCCTCAAGACCCCATGCTGTCACAAAAAATTACCTCTCCTATATAAAGAAAGAGCAAAATCAGTGGGGAAAGTTCTGCTCATGGATTGTTTGGTATTTTTTTCACATAAACAGAAATTACTTAATCATTGCAGTAAAGATTAGAACATTATTCGAAAACCAACCTGACCAGAGCCTGTAGCCGAAATGGACAATTGTTTGGAAGTCAGCATTTATATTTTTAATGGCATGCACTTTCAACATTTCACACTGAAACATTTTCAGAAGGTGCACATTTTGTCTTATCTTGATGGTACAGGGATCATGAAGCATTGATTCAGATAGCTATGATACTTACATCGTGGACTCGCTCTGTAGTGTTTAAGGTGATGACAGATATTTTATCAGCTTCTTGAATATAATTAATAATATTTTCATGGACATTGGAAGCATTTAATGCTTTTTGTACCAATCCATTCGTATCAACACCATGCAAGGTCCTGTGATAGAAAAAAAGAGAGAGAGTAGAATATTAATAAAATGAGCTGAGTACAACTGAAAATAAGAATCATTTTAATTGCAGCACTGCTTGTGCATTGTCTTGTTTCATTGTAAACAGAAGTCATTTCTAGTCATTGTTGCTTTTTGCTAATTGTATGGTGTCATCTGCATATCTTAGATTATTTATATTTCTTCCACCAATTCTCATTACTCAAACATCTGAATCTAGTCCCGTTTTCTATACAACATGTTCTGCACACCAATTGAACAGACAATACCGTACACTTTTGTCTGACACCTTTGTTTATGGGAAGTCATTTTACTTTTTCATATTCTGTTCTAATGGTAGCTTCTTCTCGAGGAATAAGTTACACATCAGGACAATCAAATGTTGAGGTGCATCCATTTCTTCCAGAACAATCTATTCTATAGCGTCTCATGGTCCACACAGTCAAAGGCTTTGGTGTAATATATAAAGCATAGAGTAATTCTCTTTTCGAATTCTTTTGTATATTCCAGTAGTCAATGTAGATTCACAATATGGTCTCTAGTACCTATCTGTTTTATGAATACATAAGCAAAATCTTGAGCATCACTTCATTTGCAAAAGAAATTAATGCAACTTGTATACACTTTTATTAACACTGGGCACCACTGAACCAATCTGAAGTATTCTGAAGTTCCATTATTTCAGTGGGAGACATATTCTCATACTTAAACCCTGTCCCACCAAGATTAATGGGGATTTAATGTACTTTACGTATGCTGGATTCTGCCCATTTCCTGCAACTACAGAGCACAGTGTGATAACGTTAAAACTTACTGTTTTAGTTCATTTGCACGAACTTGAAGTTCCTCTGCGTACTCCATGGCCCTTTGAACTAAATCATCATCAAACCTCGAGAGGTTGGCAATTTTGTCCTGTAGCTGTATTTTAGCTCCATCTATTTCTGCAAAGAACTCAGATGCATTCTGGCCAAGCAAAAGAAATAAAGGGGTGGGGGGGGTTAGCAATTATCTTTAGCAATTATGTTTAAAAAAATGTTAACAGTAATTCAAAATTAGGTAGATAAAGCCATAGAAAAGACCTGGGGTTCCTAGGCTTAATCCCCTTTATGCTAGTAAACCTGTGTCTGGACTGTACTACTTTAAACTCTTTGGTATTGCTAGACAGGAATTCCTCTTTTTTGCTTGTTGGTCTGTTTGTGTGTGTTTAGAAGACCATTCAGCCACATGGGCTCACACATCTTACTTTAGAATCTAAAGTGGGAGAGTTCTAACAAAAGTTCACCTCTTAAGCAGAAATGTGGGCGTGGGAGGGAGACATAATGTGGTCTGTGGACCTCAAAGCTCCTGAAGCCCTTCCCCACCCCACATATTGTTTACCAAAAGTACTGCCTTAGGCCTCTAAGGCCTGGGGGCATGTTTGTTACCTTTTAACTTAACTTTTTAGTTTCACTTTCTAATTTCTTTTTAATCACTTTTGGTCTTTGGGGGGGGGAATTTTCCCTGGGCTTAAAATTGCCTTGGGGAATGAAGTGAAATTGCTTGAGATGCCCACGAGATGGAGTGAGGGGCTTTTAATTTTTTTTTATTTTAAAGAGGAGTGTTGGGAGCAGAGAGGTGTAACCTTCTGCGTTGCAGAGGCATGTGAGACAAACCTCAAACAAGGTTCTGCGCCTTCTTAGAATTGTGGCTATGAATGAATTATGATTAAGGGTTCAGAAGCAAGCTGCAAAATTACATTCTACCTGCACTCCTCTCCTCCACTTGCTTCCTTGTGACTTTGTCTTTAGACTAATTTTCCCCTGACAGATGTGCAGTGCAAACCTATACATCACGTGTATGTGCTGCTGTGTCAGTGGGACTTATATATAGATAAGCATGTGCAGTGTAAACTATGATTGTTTTAAACACAATTAAGGTTTCTTCTTTGCTATTTCAGGAAAGTGTTAATGATAGCTACTGTTAATTCTGGTTATGATCTGTGAAGAATGTAAGGCTTATAACTTATTCACCTTAATTGCTTCAGTCAATTCTAAGTTGATTTGGTGTGGTACATTTAAAATATCTTCAGTCATCAGCAGAGTATTATTAATACTGTTGAACTGTTTCTCCAGTAGTTCTTGTTCTTTCTGTAAGACCAAAACAAAACATGTCACCACGCATGCATGCACGCACGCACGCATGTGCACGCACGCACGCACACATACGCACTCTCAAACTCAGCTCCTAGCCTGAAACTAACAAAATGCAGCAGTGGACACATTTTCTCTAATACATATGCAGCTGCTTTTCTAAACCAATACATGAAATAGATATATCTCATGAAATAGATGCAATGCATGAAATAGATATATCTCATGAAACAGATATATCTCATCCAGTTTCCGAAGCATATAGAAAGGCCAATTTCAGAAGACATAAAAGACTTTGGTGAATACTTCTTCTTAGGCATTATTTCTGAACAAGGCATGGAAATAATATAATCATAGTCATCTATGTGTGTTGGCCAAGGCCCAATATTTCCTGCACAGCTCTCCCTGCTTATTAAGAGACATATATTACCCCATAGCCAAGCTTCTGTACATGGTAAAAATGTACATTTATCTCTCAAAGGAAGAAAAAGAATACAAGCATAAGCTCTAAAACAAAATGCCGCTTAGTACCTCATGCACTTGGAGTTTGGCAACATTTTCCTGGTTTATAGTGTCTGTTTTTTTGAGATAATCAACAGCTTGTTCCAGGGCCTCTTGCAGGTCTGTGAGCTTGATGTTGTATTGCCCAAGATCATCCAGTATGTCGGGAATCAGAGATCTGGTTTCATTGTGTGTCCTCTGCCACTTTTCAGCTTGTCTTAACACTAAGGAAAGATGCATATGTTACCTTCTCTTTAGTCTGTGCAGCAGGTACTACTGGACTATAGGTGCCAGGTGATCAGGGCAGGGGGGGGAGTCTTTGCCAGATTCAGGGTGAGGAAATGCCTCTCTGCTCTATCCATGACTCTATGCCCAGCCCCATGTGATTTCGGAAATTAAAAGAAGGGAAGGCAACATAAACCAGCTCTAGGTAGATAATAACATAACATCACTTTCTTGTTAATGAAAATTAGGGTTTTTGTTTTGTTTTTACAGTGAATTTTTCAAATTTAGGGTGGTATCCTTTGTTATCACTCCATTCATGTGAGGTGTTTGCATTGTCAGAAGGAATTGCACTTGTACAGGAGGTCTAATTTGTAAGAAGAATGGTTCCTTCCTCGTGTGTTTCTGCTTTTGTGAAGTTCCTTCTGTTCACAGATTCACAACACTGGATTGTGTATCATTCCTCTTTTCTAAAATCACCTGTCAGATTAAGGTGTTCCTTCATTTGGTTTGTAATAAGACAACAGAAATCTTGGTTTGTAATAAGGCAACAGGAAGACTATTTCTGCAAGTATACCTTCTGCATAGCCTATAGCCAGTCATGGGTCCTAATGAATATGGATCTATGATGACACCTATGTTCTATTTGTTACAGTCACACTTTAAGCATCCTAGCACTGCTTTTAAAAACTGCAGTCTGTCTACTCATTTGTAAGTCATTTAAATCAACAGGACCAACTTGTTAATTTGAACTACTTGAAAAGCATCAGAACACTTGATCAATTCATGGTAAATTTTCCCCGTGTCTTCATATTTCTCTTGGGATGCTAGAAAGATGTGATCTTCTCACAGCAGAAGCACCAGCTTGAAGAAAGGCATGTGTTTTTCTCCTGGAACAGCATCATGAGATTTCAGGATCAAAACTAAGGAAGTGGCTCTTTGTGATGTCACAGAGGTGGGATCTTCTGATGTCACAGAGGCAGAGCAGGCAAGGGTTAAGAGGAAAGCAAGCAAAGCACACATTCAAACACCCTCACATGGGGCCAGTGCATCCAGAAACAAGCTGGGAACAGAGACAGAAACCCAGGCTTTAAAGACACCTTTGACAGAAAAATAAGATTTTCATATCCTCAAGTGATGTTTGCTCTAAGATTTGTCTCCATGTCTGGAGAAGAGTAAGAATTATCTTAGGTTTCATCTAGCTGCATGAAATCTGGCCATCTTACTGCTCATTTAAATGCCCTGCATTTTTACACAAAGATTTTTTCATGTTTAAATAAGAACATGGAATATTTAAACTAAAGAAATAATGCAGTGCTATTTTTGAGTTAACTGATCCCCTCAGTGGCACCAATAATGAGCTGGCATGCATTTTACAGTGTACGATGGTGTATTTGTGCCTTAAACTTCCTGTTGTATCTTGGCAACAAGAGGAGAACTCACAGTCTTGTGCTGCTTCTAACTCATCGCTTGCAAGTTGGGTCTGAATAGTGAATGGCTTGCGAAGTCTGATGTCCTTCAGCATCTCTTCTGCTGCCATGAGCTTCTGAATAATATCTTCAGGCCTGAGGTCATGCTCAGCACCATAGTATTCAACCTTAGTGCTGATTTCTGTGAACAAAACAGTCACAGGCAGATGGAACAACAATAAGAGAATCAGGGATGGCTGGCAGGCACTGAGTAGGTTATTTGCCCAACACTTATTTTTAATGCCCGGTGTACTGGTACCCAATGTCCTCAAGGTCCTAAATGTTCATTCAGGACACCTAATATTTCGGTCCTATTTCAGTCCCTTTTTATTGCCAGCACTATAGCAGCAGCCTTGTAATGCCACCATAATTGTTTCCACATTAAATGACTTAGTGGCAACAATTCATGTGCCATAAATATTAACAGACATTGGAGGATATTTATAGTGTGCTGTTAATTAAAAAAAACCCTACTAAAAGTTATGAAGTTAGTAATGACCACCTAAACATACATCACTTACATGACTTGTCTGTCTCTTGTGTACGTGGTTACGCTGATGGTCATATGAATATGTCCATGCTTTTCCTATTGATTAATCTGATTAAATGGCAGTGTTATAGGATAACAGGCAGATTACTCATTCAGCATTCACTGAGTTGATTCCAAATCGTGGAACTTTTCTTTCAGAGGGTTCTTATTTCTTTTTCATAAAACAATTTTGTTCATCAATTACTATTATACTGTCAATCCATTCAAAAAAGACTGGAGCTACTTCTATTGTTGTTTTGTTAATGACAGAACAAATAATGACAGGATTGACTGATTTTTCTTGCTTTGCCTTCAGCCTCACAGAGAGATAGATGAGCCTTGACAACTCTATGAGCAGCCTTTATATTTATTTAAGGTTTCAGTATTTCACTTATATTGCAGTCCATGTATCTGCCCAGATACCAGTTACACTCAATTCAATGGAGCTTTTCTCTCAGGAAAGGTACGGTATATAGGACTGCAGACTCAGGGTGCAATCAGATAGGCATTTAGCCCACTGTTTGGTCCACTTTGGGGACAGGTTGGTTTTATGCAGACTCAGGGTGCAATCAGATGTTTGGTCCACTTTGAGGATAGGTTGGTTTTCTCCTTGTTTGGGTGATAACATGACATAATCAATGGAGCAAACAAAATTGTCCCCAGTGTTCCTACTGTACCTTTCTGAGTCCCTGTTTGGGGCTTCTACTTTTTTTGGTGTTGGTAGGATCACTCTGGTTTGGTCCATTTCCAGCTTGTGTGATTGCTGGAATGGACTGAAGGTGAGCCCTCTTACTGTCATGGCTTCTTCTGTTTGGAATTTCTGATACTATGAAATGGCTGAGTAAGTGAACCACTTTAGGGTATTGGCAAATTGAGCACTTTCTCTGCTCCTTAGTGGAGGAGCAGAGGATTTTTTTTTTAAAAAAATTAGACTGCAGTAGACCATTACTAATGTGCTATATCAGTTATTTAAAAAATTAAAACTTTTTTGTTGCCTTGTCTAAAGGGCTGGTTGATGGATCATTCCATGCATACAGCTGAGATATACATATATACTTTGTCATGTCTTAAAGAGACAGGTTATATATATATATAAATGGCTTACATACTAGTAAAAAACTTGAACTGTAGAGCTTGGACGTTTCCAGTTTCAGAGTGCTATTATAACTAGCCAGGATAGTCAGTGGCCAACAGAGCCAATAGGAGGTCACCTGAAGCTACTCTGAATACAAACCTTTCCCAGCCTACAGGTGCTGGAAATTGCTTAGTACTACCATCACTGTGGCCTGACCTTGTGCCAGCATGGTGGATGTGCCTCTAAGTTGGTGGAAGGTTTGAACTAGAATAACTTGGATCCTCCCTCAGCCTATACCATTTCCATGTATGTTTTGGCTCTTCTGCTGACCGATCTAATGCATCAAAACAGTTCTGTTGGCAGATCCCTCTGCTGGCAGATTTCTGATATCATCTGGTAAAAACAGATTCTGCTGGCACAAGGACATTTTTGCAGTGTCCTCTATAGCTGGTACGCCTTTGATTTAGGATTACACTGTTATATTTTACATTTGTATAGATTATACTGTATGTCTGCTATTATTACTTTTTTCCATAGTGGTTTACTGGTCTTTACGTGCATTCAGATGAGTGCATTCAGTTTTACCTTGGATGTGATCTATCATATTTCCAAGTGCCCGTACAAGGACAGAAGCTCGGTCAGTGATCTCCATGGTTTCCTTCTGTACCAGTAAGCCTTTACTTGATACTTGATATCTCTATGAATAAATCATGTGAAAATCATGTTAGTTTTTTTCTCTTTATCAAAAACACAACTCTGTGTTTCTCATGTCATTATACTGTGTTTTCCCGAAAATAAGATAGGGTCTTATATTAATTTTTGCTCAATAAATAAATAAATAAATAAAAAAATTATTAAAAAAAGTGCATCAGAGGATTTTTTTTCATGTACAACAGTCTTCGTTTATTCAAATACAGCCATGTCATCTTCTTCTGGTTGCTGCATAATGATGGAAGGTGGGTTAAAAAAAGTGCATCAGAGGATTTTTTTTCATGTACAACACTTTACATTTATTCAAATACAGTCATGTCATCTTCTTCTGGTTGTTGCACAATGATGGAAGGCGGGGTTTCACTTAACTGGGGCTTATTTTCAGGTTAGGTCTTATTTTCAGGAAAACAGGGTATACATTAATAAGCAGTTCTCCTTACAATATCTTGCATGGATCAGACTCTTCACCAGACCATCTGAAGGTGACAGTGAGCAAGACCGTATTAGACCAACCAACCAACCACTGCTGGAAGAGGTGGCCTCAGAGGGAACCTTCTGTCACTTTCCACATCCTACTGCAAGTGTGAAACTATCAGTTTAAATCAGGACACATGTGTAATCAAGCTTCTTAGTTAATTAGTGGTGTCAGTAATGCCACTGTCACTCCCCTGTGTACCTGCTTGGATGTATAGGTAGTTTTGTTTCACTTTACTGTAGTGTGTTTGACAAAGTGGATTAATCCATGAAAACTCACATTGAAATATAAAGGTTAGACTTTAAGGCACCATTACTTTGTTTGTGTTTTGTTTTTTAGTCTGTTTTGGTTTTGCCTGACTTTTCCAAAAGTACATTTTTTCCTGCTGAAACACCAGGTGGCGCTTGAAGGCGGATGGGGAAAAAAGGGTCTTCTAATCTAAACTGCTCTTCAAGCAATGAGAATGGAGTTTGATCCCTCTTGTTCTATTCCATTACTCCAACACATGTTTTCACTGGAGAAGATGAAAATAATGCATACAGTTACCTACAATTTTTCTCACATCAGTGCTGTGTCTGGGTACTTGTGAGCTAGATCTTTTAATTTCCAGATATTGTCTAATAAGAACATACTCTTCCTTTTTAAAAAAGCTATTCTTTTGATAGAGGAGACTTTTGGCTAGATCTTTTAATTTCCGGATATTATTATTTATTTATTTTTAAAGCTATTCTTTTGATAGAGGAGACTTTTATACAGTACTCTGGATGAGTATGCTTTCTGAAGAGAAATTGAGTAGAATAGCATACCAGGTGGTGGTGGTGAATCGATATATATTATCCTAGCCTTATGTGTTAAGGAATCACTATAAAAAGAAATGGAAAGTGAAATGCGTTTTTCCAATGTGTTAACAGCACTCAGTATTAAGGAATCATTATAAAGAGAAATGGAAAGTGAAATGTGTTTTTCCAATGTGTTAACAGCACTCAGTATAGAAATACTTGCCATTGCACAACGAAACAAGAGTCAAACCAGACAATGTGAAAAATGCATGATTGCATTTTTGTGTGTGTTGATTTTTCAAGTAGCAGGGGCACAGGGGAGAGGGAATTCTGTCATCAGGATCTGGACAATGGCTTGTGAGGACTTGAAAAAAAGATATGTGTAGTGGTACCAATGGAATCCACTCAACTATTATCACCACCGGAACCCCCAGGAATTCTAGACGTAATAACACGATGGCAATATCTGTTAAAACTGTGGTTTTGAGGAACTGATTAAATCTCTCTTCTTGTGCATTATGGTCTAAACCCTGATTAGTTCCTCCATGTACATGTTCTTGTCCTATGTGATGCAGATAAAAAAATATGTTGATGATGTTCACCGTTCTTTAATTATAAATGGTAAAGAATTATATTAACATCTGCCATATTGATAGGCTGTTACAATTTAAAAGTGAATTGTATGTTATTTATTATTTATTTAATGTATACCCCGCCCATTTAGACTGAAGTCTACTCTGGGTGGCTAACAGCAGTCCAAATAATAACAGTATAAAATAAAACAACAGCATTACAGTCAACCCTCGACTTACAAACGGCTCGAGTTACAAACATTTCGACTTACAAACCACTCTGATAGAAAAATATTGACTCGACTT